AACCCATTGCTCCCAGAGGAAATACAGGGTTAGGTTAGGTTCCTGCAAACTTATGGCCACAATATTTTTGTCAACCAATCAATGCACAATATTGTCTTATGTGTTTCAATGTAGAGACACTTTTTAAATATATATTGTTGATTAATTAGCATTAAACTCATGGTCAACAGCAATATAAATCATACCTGAATGAAGCTTATTTAACACGTGTTGTTTTTCATCAAGGCACATTATAGCCCTGCTGTGCTTAGGGACACTAGACAGCAATTCAGTACCATGCTTTGGGGCCATTTGCAAAAGTGAAATCACCAATAAAAAGCACAGTTATGCAAAAACCATGACACAAAATAGACATGAAAAGGACTCTTGCTTATAGTATGACGGCTGAAGCAGTAACACAGAGCACTCTCTGGTTTGACCTCAGCTGGGAACATGTGCATCAGGCAACTCAAAATGTTTTGCCAGTCTGCTCATGTATGCAAATAGTGCAAAAGCACTGTGAGTGTTAATTTTAGGGTTACAAATAAATTTTTGCAAACAGGCAAATTTGTAAGTATTGAATTTGTGATTAATGAAAATCAACAATTTTTGGAGCAGGCACATTCTTATGCAAGTCTTCTCATTTAGGAATTTGGTATTTTCTCCTTTTGTTCATGACTTGTTTTCTGTACTCAATGCAATATAATTTTCTTTAATTGGGTCTTGTATCATTTTTGTGAATCTTTTTTGTAGTTTCTTTTAAATATAATTTTACATGTATTTTGAATGAGGTTTTTATAAAATTTCTGGCCAATTATTGCTAGTACAGTGAAGAATTTTGTGTAGTTTTATTTTATTTTTTCATCATCATTTGAAGCCTATTAATTTTAGTAATTTTTGCTAGTTACTTTGGGTTCCTTGGTAATTCACAATTAAATTAGCTACAAGTAGAAGTAATTCTGTCTGTTATTTTTCAGCATTTTAATTTTCTTTTTAATTATATGTTCAAAAATTTCCTAAAATATTTAATAAGAATGATGACATTTGGCACCTAGCTTTCAATTCTGGTTTTGTAAATGAAAGCATTCTCAGTGTAAACTACCATATGTAAAGTAAATAAAACCACATCAAAAGGGAGAAGATTACCATTGTAGATTTTTTGCTGAATCATTGAATGAATTCAATATTATCACTTGGCAATAATCATTGATCTCTTCAAAGATGTTCAGTGCTAGTGTGCCAACTTAATAGATAGCAAAGATATATTTTTTACTATTATTACATTGTGATTGAGTAAAGTTCCACATTCTTTTCTCCTAGATCAGCCACAAATCAGAATTTCTGAACTCATCAAAGTCTAGGCTACACTGAAAATTATTACATAAGACTGTTACTTTGGGGAACAACTCTATTGTACTTGGGGTGGACAGAGTACAACACATTGACAGAGAACCTTAGCTTTGTACAGCCCTTGCAATTCCCTTTCTTCATCTTATCTCTAGAAATACCACTCTGGAAGTAGAGAAGAGAGGTTATCTCAGTTAACGGGTAAAGAGACTGACTCATAGAAAAGTGAAGTGACTTCCTCATGGCCACACATATGGTTAGTTGAGGGCAAAGCTTCTGTCTGTTCCAGATTCAGTCAAACTTCATTACTTTGTTCCAACACTCCTTGACTGTTTCCAGCTACATTCTAAAAGAGCTCATGGCTCACGTTATCTATCCATCCATCAATCCCTCCATCATGTACTATACATTTTATTATTCATTCAGTCTGTCATTCAACAAATATTTATTGAGCATTATCATATTCAGATATTATTGTAGATTCTGGCAGTACAACTGGAAACAACGGACATTCCTCCCCTCATAGAGCTTACATTATAGAGAGGGCACAGCAATAAATAATTAATAAAGTGAGTAAGATACAGGATGTCAGAGGGTGATGAATTGCTTTGAAGAAAATAAAGCCAGCAAGAATAACTGGGAGTGCCAGAGTGAGGACATGGCTGAATGGTAAATGGTTGCCTTCAAGATGAGCCTATGTTAGAGCAAAGACCTCGGTGGGTCTTTGGGAGGTGAGCAGTCAAGCCCTGCAGGGAGGTGATGTAGGGGTACCAATCCCCCGAGGTGGCTGCATGCCTGGTGTGTTCATGGAGCAGCAAGGAGAGCTGTGAGGCTGAAGCAGAACAAGTTGGGAGAGGCGCAGAGGAGGACCAAGAGCTGGTGGGGAACAGGATTTACAGGGCCAGGCTAAAGGCCACTGGAAGGACTGCAGCTTCCTTGGAAGAGGGAAAGCCACAAAAAAGTTTGTGCAGAGGAGTGACATCATCTGGCCAAAATTTGAAAAGGATCACCCTGCCTGTGGCACCAGGAGTAGACCATGTGGAGACCAAGGAGGAAGCAGGGGAACCAGCGAGGAGGTCATGCGACAGTGTGGGGGAAAGGGACCACGGAGGTGGTGGCAGTGGAGATAACGAGACCCACTCCGAGTCGAATCTATGTTGAAGGTGCAAGCAACAAGATTTGCTGATGGATTGACTTTTTGTATGACTTTATGAGCCAAGTGTCGGAGTTACAAAAGGGAGTGAAATCAGATTCCTTGATGGAGCTTTAGCCAAATGAGAAGGCAAATAGTAATCAGATAGTTAAACAAATGTGTAGTTTATTTAAATTCTTTAAAATAAAGATGTAAGCCTTAAGGTTGGGGTAGATCTGCCTTAGTCAAAAGTGGGGCAGAATCAGGGCTGGAACACAGGGACTGTGGCAGAGGAATGAAACTGGAGAGATTAGCACGGTGGACCAAAGGGACCAAGACTAAATAATGCTGCAACTTTTCATTTTTAACCTAAACACAATGGGAAAATGATGGAGGAATTTGATTTAAGGAAGCCATGAGGGTATGGAGGGGATGCGTGTGTAAGAAGTGCTGTCATGTTTGTGTCAAAAATGTGTAAAAGATCAGTCTGGCTTCCGTGGGCAAAAGAAACACATATAATATGGATTGGCTGGGCATGGTGGCTCATGCCTGTAATCCCAGCACTCTGGGAGGCTGAGGTGGAGGGATCACTTGAGGTCAGGAGATCAAGACCACCCTGGCCAATATGGTGAAACCCATCTCTACTAAAAATACAAAAATTAGCTGAGTGTGGTGGCGGGCGCCTGTAATCCCAGCTTCTTGGGACGCTGAGGCAGGAGAACTGCTTGAACCCGGGAGGCAGAGGTTGCAGTGAGCCAAGATGGTGCCATTGCACTCCAGCCTGAGCGTCCACAGCAAGACTTCATCTCAAAAAAAAAAAAAAAAAAAAAAGTGTGGATCTTTGTGATGTAACAATGAGAATGTAGGAATTTAGGTGAGATCTCAAGTATCCAATATATCCAGATGATTAACATTTTATTGTTACTTTCCTAGTGAAAGGTGAAAATAGCTGTCTTTAAAAATAAAGATAAATTGGAACCTGGTATCTTTGTTTTTATTTTTAAATTGAAATTCTATGTGCAAAATTAAAGATACACATCAAGATGATATCCAAATCCTCTAACTTTAATCATATATTGATAACCTGATAGGTAAATGTGACATAATAATAATAGCACCTAATTGTGAAGTCATTGTGTACTTTATTCTTTAAGGAGCCATAAATTAAAATACAACAAACTTTAAAGCAGCAAAATGCCCACAGAAATGGAGGTCTGGGATTGAGATGGAAATTTGCTGCTGGATGTCTGAGAAAAGATTAGAGAATTATAAAAGAAATTAACAAACAAGTCCAATCTTATTTAAACTAATCTATTCTTATACTCCTAGTAGGCAAAGTGAAAGTGAATCAGTATTTCTTTTTCTCAAAAATGTGATGCGGCTAGGCATGGTGGCTTGTGTCTGTAATCTCAACACTTTGGGAGGGCAAGGTGGAAGAATCACTTGAGGCCAGGAGTTTGAGAACCTGCCTGAACAGCATAGTGAGATTCCATCTCTATAAAAAACAAATATAAAAATTCAGCTAGCATGGTGGTGTGTGCCTGGGAGGCTGAGGTGGGAGAATCGCTTAAGCCCAAAAGTCCAAGTTTGCAGTGAGCTATGATCGTTTCACTGCACTTCAGCCTGGGCGACAGAATGAGATCTTGTCTCTAAAAAAGAAAAAAAAAAGTGTTTCTTTCCTGTATCTTCTGCTATTTTAAATTACAAAGAAGTGGCTACTTCAAAAATGAAGGTCACAAAAACCTTTTAGAGGTCATCTTTAGGTGGGTAATCGGGCTTGTGATGGGCAATTACATACACTGGTCAGGGCAGGGTGTGCCCCTCTGGAGCACAATTTGGCATTCCAAATTTTGAGGGTTAACCAAGTTCATAATGTTTTATTCAATGATTTTTCTTGAATGAATTTTCCCTTAATAAAAACACAAACACATTAAGATGAAATGCATGCATAGGGATGTTGACTTTAGAATTTTGGGGGGGCAACATTTGGAAACAGCCAAATGTTCAATAATGTATTGCTCATGAATTGTGGCATTTTCTTATACGGAAGAGATTAAGGCCATTAAAAATAACATTTTGGGAACTAAGAATGAAAAATTAGCATAATCCTGTTTTGATAACACTAAAATGTGAATAGCACTCCTCTGTGAGTGGTGGTAGGCTGTCTTTCTTTTCCGTTTTTTTTTTTTTTAATAAAGTATTAATTCTGAAATAGGCTTCCAAAAGCAAACCAGCAAAAGCTAGGACTATAACAAAGTTATTCAAATATTCTAATATAATCTTCAGTGTCTTTCTGATGGTTTTCATTGTAGAAATAACTCTAAACATCTGGATGGGTCACCAAAAGCCATTGTGGCCTCTTAGTTCTACTTTGAAATTAAAGGCCATTTTTAGAGAAGAAGAATCTCTTAAGTTGATCCCTCACCCCACCTCCTGCCTTGTCTAGGATCTTCAGCATTAGAAAGATTGCTGGCTAGTTAACATAATGCCCAGGCCCTGGGCAGCTGCTCTGTGGGACCAGCTGGTCCTCAAAGACACTCACCTGGCCTGTCCGTGGTGAGCCACATCCTTTGGATTCATCTGGTCCAGCAGGTGCTGCCTTCTCACCACTTCTTTCTTCCTACAGCGCCCCTGAAGAAGGTTGTTTCTGAGGGTCCGGAAGAGAAGCTTCGTATTCTGCATTGCTGACATCTGCTGAAAGGGCCAACATTTTAAAAAAGTATCAGATCAGTCTATGTGTGGTCTTCTTTCCTTACCTGCGTGTGGACAGACCACCATGAAAGTTTTTGGAATTATTTCTCTTAAGTCCTCAGAAAAATAATCTTACTGCTTTCTTATCCCTGAATTTCTTCACATTCTCATACACATAGCATAATTCTTCAAATTAAATACCCCACACTCCCTCAATAAGTCCTCTTCCTTAGAGTAAACCTAGTTATTTGACATTCTACACCTAGAGGAGGGCATCAAAGAGGACCAAGCCTGTGGTTGCTCACGTCTGGGGTTGTGGATGCCTTAGAGAATTGGAAAATAACTCATGGCTTTATCTCCAGTGAAATACTCAGACATTCCATTCTGTATACAATTTCAGTGGATTCACAGGCCACCTGAAATCTATTCATCCACCCCAAGTTAAGAACCTCTACCAAAAGGAGGCAAAGAAGGAATGAGATGTTTGATTTTAAGGGATTCAGCACTTGAAATGTAAAGCATAATAACAAAATGGCCACATGGTGTCACTCTAATATCAACAAATCCAAGATTTAGAACCAGGAAAGTAGATCCTAGGCCTGAGAATCTGAGGACCTGGGTCCACACGGTTTAGTAAGGCAATGCCCACTGGAAATTATTTGGCAAGATTCAGGCACTTGACCTTTGTGCGCCATTCATGTAAAGGAGAGAAGGAGGGAAACTATCCTTGGTGAAGGTAATTAATCAACATCCTTTGCTATTGTGGTTGTCATCTGTGTGAAGAAACTTACTCATGGAATTTAGTAATGAAAAGAAAATGTTCTTTCTGGGAACAATTAGAATGCCTTTTCTTAAAATGTACTATGCTATTTCTCTTCTTACAAAGAACTGAATTCACTTGCTAGGAATTTATAATTTTAAAAAATTTGAAAGGCAGCTGTGAAGGTTTAGTTGTATACTTTTTCAGTCAGCATTGTGATAATTATCTTCCTTTTTTCCTAAAGAAGAAATATTTGAAATTTAGGGTTCAGGAAAAGACATGTTAAAAAAGAAAAATTCTCCAAAAATATGCTAGTAACTAGAAGTCTTATTGCATCATTTTTGCCAAATCAGAGCCCTTCTCTTTTCCATCTGTATCCATTTCCAATTCTCTTCTAACTCTTCACTGACATATTCTAGTCCAGAGTATCTAATCAATTACTTCAGACTCAACTCTGGCCTTTTCTTGTGCCTAAAGCCTTTCATTGAGACAACGTGAAGAAAGCGTACTTGAGATTCAAGGTGGAGTTTGCCACTTGCTCAGTCTTAAATACTGTAACATATGACAGGAGCAGAATCTGTGGTTTCACTGGAGGGCAAGTTTTTTTCACGGCTATTGCTTATACTGAATTGATTAATGAATAGTTTGGTATGCAACATTAAATGTTACCTGTACGCAGTACTCAATGACAGGATGAGACTTCTGATAGGACTTGCTGTGGAGACTAGATAAGAAACACATCTGGCAGATGTCAAAGTTGAGACACTTCAGACAGCGGTACCTGCCAATCAAAATAGAAGCACAGCTTTCGTCACTAGCAGATGAGCAAAAGAAAGAATATCCAGGTAGAGAATGAGCACCCCAAAACATATAGAAGATGTCTGAGCTACCAAATCAGTGTAAAGTTTCTCCCAAATTATAGGATTATTAAATGACTCTAATGCATTTGTTTACTCAAATCTTCATTTATTAATATTTCATATGGCATTATATTCATGCCATATATGCTATGGTATAGAAGTCTGATTTATTTCCCAAAATACTAAGTGCTCTCTATATGCAGGGTGCTGTGTGCTATAACCTTTAGGATAAACCCTTACATCTGCAGCCATGTCATGTGCAGCTGCACAATGCACTCAAACACTTTGAATTTGATAGCTAATTTTAAAAGTAGATTTCAATAACATCAACTTTTGGCTTCTCTTAAACTTTTAAACAATATGATAATATCGGGCCTGCATTCCTGTATGGTATTAGGGAAAATTAAGCCATAGATAACAAATTTAAAAATAAGCATTTGTCGTTTTATAGAAGTCTGTGTGTAGGAAAGATATAAAGTGGAGGAGGGGCGTTCCTCACCACACCCAAGTTTCTTGACTCAGCATTGGAGATTTTTTCTTTATGAGAAATGACAACCTTAAATCCTTTTGCAGTCAGGAGAGGAGAGATTCTTGGGACACTCTGGTTAGGAGGGGTGTCCCATAATACTTGGGAAACTGTTGTGATGTTAGGGGAGACCTAGTGAGACCTAGCAATCATCAGTAACTTTTAAGTATATTTGAGTGGGACCATGTTGTTTGTCTACAAAATAACAGGGAGCTACACATTTTTTCCCGATACTTAAATTCTCTTCTCTAACTGTAGTGTGTATACTATAGAGCTCCATCTTCGTATGGTGACAGCTGGTGAGAACCAGGCGGCAGCTGCTCCTTTTAGACTGAGCTAGCCATAGTCCCTACCTGTCCTATGTCCTTCATGTATACCACTTGCCTTGCCTTTTAAGCATCTGGGTTTTCAACCCCTGTCTTAAAGTTTACAAAAAAGAAATATGACAAGATTCCAGTGCTCTTAAATTTCATATCTTGCTGCAAAACTTTGACATGGAAGGTTGAGGTAATAACTTGCAGAATTAGGCACTGTGTGATTAAGTGCTGAATGAGAGGCGTGGAGAAGCAGGGCTATAGCAGGGAAGCAGAGGGAGAGCCCTATGGGCTGGGGTGGACTGGAAAGTTCTCATGCAAGAAGTGAGACTCCTGCTATGCATGGAAGGTGAGCTGGAGATTAAAGCAAAGGAAATCCCAAGTAGAAAGAATCAGAAGAATAAGATAACGAAGATTGAGATGAATAAGAAGGGTTAAGAGGACACCAGATCTATCGGACCTGCTAATTGCCCTGAAGAACAGTAGGAAAAAAACTTGAAAATTTTCTGAGGCCAAATGGCAGAAGGTCTGATGGTCTGATCAAAGTCATTTAGAGGCAGAGCAAGAGAATGTAAATGCCTCCAGATCAGCCCTCGGCTACCCTTGCTCACTGCTGTACTTCCAACCCAGGCTCCCATGGCAGGCTATTAATACATAGAGTGGGATGGCTATAACAGCGGCTAGCATTTTTGTGCCTGTTCTACGTGCAGGCGGTGTACAGGTGTTGATGCAGTTAATCCCCGTGGAAATTCATTCAGGTATTCTTACAATTACCCTCATTTTGCAGATGAGGAAACTGAATCAAAGAGAGTTTAAGTAACTTGGACAAAGTTATACAACTACTTAGTAAGTAGTAGAAGATTTTGAGTCCCAGGTTACCATCTGAATTGATGGCCTGCCATCTTAACCACTAGAATACATCACCACTCCTCAAGGCAGAGGCTTGAGTTTGAATTCACATGCCACCATCACTACTTATAGTAGTACTAATAGTTGAAATGGAAACTTAAGCTCACTTAAGTTTAGGAGAATGCCTGGTACACAGTAGGTTTTTCAATGAACATTAGTTGAATGAAGTTGGATAAATGACTTAGTTTCTTCAATGAAGGAAAAATGGAGCTAGTAAACCCTATCCTCTTGGCCTTGTAAAATTTTAGAACATTTTAAAAATTGTTCAACATACATAAATGGGAAGACATTCACTTTTTCAATGAAATGTACAACATAGTAAACAATATTTTTAAGGAACATTTGATGAGCCATCCTTGCTGGCTGCCTTATCAAGCATTAACTAGATCCCAAAACACAAGTTTTAACTAGATGGCTGTGATTGACTTGTCTAGGATAATATGCTGCTCTATCCTTAAATTTGTTCATCAGTGCTCTGAAACTACCTCCAAGTATATGAGAATGGTTATTGTGTGGGTAATGAGATTGTTGTTTTTACCAATATAGAACCCAGGATTTCCCCCAATTTCATTTCAACCTTCCATGGCTATTACAGAGCAAAAATGTGACATGTCCTTCTACAAATTCAATCTTGGATTAGGGCTACTCTGTGGTCTTTGCACCTTCTTCTTCTTTAGAAGGCCAAATCTTTGTCCTCTTTCTGTTACGTGCAGATCTGCAAATGCTTCTGCTCTAACATGGCTTTCTTCATCTCTCAAAAAACCAAAGTTACTGGTTGAATTTTTTGAGATCCCAAAACACAAGCTTAAAGTTAGGTTTATTATATATCCAGGCGATTTTTAATAGAATCAGAAGTTTAGAGCTAAAGAAGTCTCAGACATCATTTCATCTAGCCTGCTGTATTTTACAACACACACACGCGCGCACACAAACACACACACACACACACAAACAAAAACAAAAACCTGAGGTCCAGAGAGGTTAAAAGCCTTGCCCAAGTCTCCCAGCTCTTTGTATATTGACACCTGTTTATTGCCTCGGGTGTCTAGGAGGAACTGTGTTTTACATGGAGGCATTTCAAAGAAGTCCTGTTCTCATTCTCAACAAATAGTTAAAGTATGGCATTTCTTGCCCTCTGCCTTTGCCGTTTTTACAGGTGACTTAAGTAAGTCACTCAAACTCTTTGAGACTCAATTTTTGTCATCTATAGAATAGAAACAGTATCTACTTTATGTTACATATAATAATTTTGAAAAAATATCTCTATGTAAAAGCTGTGTTTTATATAATTGCAAAGTTAATCCTGTACCTGATCTAGGGCAGGACTTGTAATTACTCCTTAACTAATACTTGCTTGTTGGTTAAATGATTATAATGTACTCATAACATGGTAAATCATATTCCAATTTCCCCATTGTCCAGTATAAATAATTTATTTTTCATTGTAGTATGAAGATTTCCTTGTTCCTCCTTGCTTGGTTTCCAACAGTCCTGTCCTTTTATATGTTTTATTGTTTAAAGTTCAGTTACTCGGTAGAATTTTCATGACTGAAGTTTCACTATGTCCTGCAAATTCTCTGCAAACCCAATTCATTTTCTCGGCAAAATTAAAATGAGATCTCTGGTTTCTTGGTGTACTAAACAGACCTATTTTATCTCCATGGGGAGCATATTTCAATTCAAGCTTAGCTAGGGTTAGGAAGCATGGGAAAGGAAGAAGAACAAAGTGAGCAGGAGCTGAGGCCTGAGGCCTCTTGTCCCCTTCTCCTTCTGGGCACCCCCAGCTTTGCCTTGTTTTCAGCTGCCTGATGTTCCAGAGCTTTAGTACTTCCACACCCCCAGCCGCTGTTCACTCATTGTGAATAATGGCATCTTCCATACCTGGCCTATACCTGGTGGTTTCTTTCTCTTCTCCCAAGCTATTAATGATAACTCTAATTTTACTTCCCTATGGTTTTATTTACGGGACACTGATAACACTCTTTCTCTAGGATGGGATTTGACTGTTATCCTCAAAGCTATGGAAATATTTGAATCTCACCCCCAAATCTAGCTCTCAAATCTGTCCTTTGCTCCAGGTAGAGAGAAGATCCGGGCTGAGTTGCTCTCATTCATGCTAATCATCCCTGTGAGTCTGAGACTCGTTTGCAGTTGTATGCACAGGGAGGCAGTAGAGCATCATGGCTGCAAAGCAGGGACTCTGGATTTAGGCCACCAGCCTCTGCTGCTTGCTGATCATGTAAGCTATTTAACTTCTCTGCAAATTGGGGAGAATAATACAACCCCTTGTATAGGCTTACAATATATTTTAAATAAAATGACCCATGTGAACTGCTCAGCTTGGCATTTGTCTAACACCTAACAAAATTAGCATTGTTAGGATGATGATGATGATGGATGAATGGTTCCAAAATACTTAAAAGTTGTTTTTGGAACAAAAGACAGGCCAGATGCATTGGCCCACACTTGTAATCCAATGCTTTGGGAGGCTGAAGCAGGAGGATCAGTTAAGATCAGGAGCTGGAGATCAGCCTGGGCAACACAATAAGATCTCATTTCTACAAAAAAATAGAAAATTAGCTGGGCATGGTGGCATGCACCTGTACTCCCAGCTACCCAGGAGGCTGAAGTGGGAGGATGTCTTGAGCTTAGGAGTTCCAAGCTGCAGTGAGCAATGATAGTGCCACTGCCCTCTAACCTGAGTGACAGATAGAGACCTTGCCCCCTCCCCTCAAAAAAAAAGGCAAAATTTATTCCCCTTAGAGGAATAAAATGTCTATTAATCACAGTATGCATCAGTGGAAGAATTTAATATTTCGACCATTATAGAAGATAAAAGACAACTTATTATTAACCAGGATGCCTCTTGCCAAGAAATCATTGAGCCAAAAAAGTCAACTGAATTCCAGATGTGTGAAGAGGACCCCAAAAAGAATCTGAAGGCATGCAGCGCCAACTGTAGACCCATCTGGAGAATGGTAATCCGAGCAATGCTGCTGATGACCGTACCTGAGTCCCGTGATCGGGAAAGTCCTGCAGACCGTGCACCGAACAGGGTGAGTGACCCTGTCAGCAGCTGATAACCGGTGGCAGGTCGGGAGCCACAGGAGGATGGGAGGCTCAGATTGCACCCAAGACAGGAATTTCTCTTCTTTGATTGCTGGGCTCAACACCTGAAAAACAATGACACCCTAAGATGTGTTTTTAGGCATGACTTGGTATTCTCATTTTCTTTTCTGACTCTAATTCTGTCAGCTCTGCTGAAGAGGTTTATCATATGAAAAGCTGGAGGTGAGACTACCTCCTAAATTCAGTTATCTGGGATGCTTTGTGGAGGAATAATAGGTCTGTAATTTAAATCAATCTGCAAACTATTCCAATTCACCGAGTCTGTCCCCAACTCCAGGGAGATTTGCAAGGCACTCACCCCTTGGAAACAGCTGCGGGTGGCACTTTCCACAGAGCACAGAGCACGACTCTCTCCCACGACAGTTGGGATCTGCAAGAGACAACCTCATCTCAGTTGTTACAAAGTGGAGAAATATGTGGCCTCCAGGAGCAGCAGGCCCAAGAGCTGGTGCCCACAGCCATGCAGTCACAAGAGTCTGGCATCTGAGACCAGGTGAATTGTCTCAATCCAAGAAAACAAAAGTAATGTGTGGGTTTTGTACAATGTTTGCATTAAGACAATGAATAAGCAAAGGGGAAGAAGAGGAGAGAAGAGGGTAATGGAAGGAAGTCTGCCAATGGGGTGATAAACTACTTCCTTCTGTTTTACCTCTTGTGATACCAAATTATTTTAACCTTTATTTAAGCCTTTGTTCACCTGTGAAATGCATATCATAATAATACTGTCTTAAAGTTTAGAGTTTTAAAGTATACATACTTCTTTATTTTACTTTAAGTTCTGGGATACACGTGCAGAATGTGCAGGTTTGTTACATAGGCATACATGTGCCATGGTGGTTTGCTGCACCTATCAACCTGTCACCTAGGTTTTAAGCCCTGCATGCATTCGGTACTTGTCCTAATGCCCTCCCTTCTCTTGCCCCCAATCCCCCAACAGGCCCCAGTGTGTGATGTTCCCCTCCCTGTGTCCATGTGTTCTCATTGTTCAGCTCCCACTTATGAGTGAGAACCTGTGGTGTTTGGTTTTCTGTTCCTGTGTTAGTTTGCTGAGAATGATGGCTTTCAGCTTCATCCATGTCCCTGCAAAGGACATGAACTCATTCTTTTTTACAGCTGCATAGTATTCCATGGTATATATGTGCCACATTTTCTTTATCCAGCCTATCACTGATGGGCATTTGGGTTGGTTCCAAGTCTTTGCTATTGTATATATACATATTTCTTAAGACTAGTCAAGTTCAGTAGTGAGAAGTGGGAAAGAGTAGATCCAGGAGTTCAATCTGTAACTGACTGTAAACCATTCTATGGAGATAACTCACTACCTTTGGACAAGCCTAGAGTAGCTTTGAGAAAAACCTTTCTAAACACTTTCATATCATATCATTTTAAGAAATGCCCATCTCTGAGGTAGGGTGGTAATCACTACCCTTCTTTAAAGCAAGGCGTGAAAGGAAAGGAAATCAGTCTGTCAAAGAGGCAGCTGCACTCCCATGTTCACTGCAGCACTCTTCATAACAGCCCTGTTTCTGGAATGATCTAAGTGTTCATTGACAGATGAATGGAATAAAAAAATGTGGCATGTAATATACAATGGAATAACACTCAGCCTTAGGAAAGAAAGGAATCCTGTCATTTGCAACATCATGAACAAACCCAGAGGACAATATGCTAAATGAAATAAGCCAGGCACAGAAAGACAAATACTGCATGATCACACTTACACGTGGAATCTAAAAACACTGAATTCATAGAAACGGAGAGAAGAATAGTGGATGCCAGGGGCTGAGGATAAAGATAAAGGAGAAAATGTTGATTAAAGGGTAGAAACTTTGATAAGATAAATAAATTCGGACTGGGCGCAATGGCTCATGCCTGTAATCCCAGCACTTTGGGAGGCCAAGGCGGGTGGATCACAAGGTCAAGAGATCAAGACCATCCTGGCCAACATCATGAAACCCCGTCTCTGCTAAAAATACAAAAATTAGCTGGGCATGGTGGCATGTGCCTGTAGTCCCAGCTACTTGTGAGGCTGAGGCAGGAGAATCACTTGAACCCAGGAGGCGGAGCTTGCAGTGAGCTGAGATTACACCACTGCACTCCAGCCTGGCTGTAGAGCCAGGCTCCATCTCAAAAAAAAAAAAAAAAAGATGAATAAATTCTGGGGATGTAATTACAGCATGGCAACTAGGAATAGTACCGGTGAAACCCCATCTCTACTAAATATACAAAAACTAGCCAGGCGTGGTGCCAGGTGCCTGTAATCCCAGGTACTCAGGAGGCCGAGGCAGGAGAATTGCTTGAACCTGGGAGGTGGAGGTTGCAGTGAGCCAAGTTTGTGCAACTTCACTCCAACCTAGGTGACAAGAGCAAAACTCCATCTCAAAAAAAAAATTTCTTTTTCACATTTTCCAGTATTGTTTACTTGAAAATAGATACAAGAGCAGATTTGAAGTGTCCTCAAACCTCCCATCCCATAAGATGGTAATGATGGTGGTGACAGATGGATTAATTCATTTGACTGTGGTAGTCATTACATAGTGTATATGTATCTCAAAACATCAAGTTGTATACCTTGAATACACACAGTTTCTGATTATCAATTAAATATTTTTCAAAAATAAGTAAAGCAAGGAGTAATTGAGATTTGATATTTTGCTCCAGGTCAAAAAAGCAATTTAGCAGCAGAATTGGGGTCTCACTCCAGGACTCTTACTCTTTCTTGAGGAGTTTTCATAAAGCTTTGTCACAGCGAACATTACATATATTCCAACGGCTCAATCTGTGTCACCACACTCAGTGGTTTCCACCTTTCTACTACAGTCACCATAAGGCGTTCAATTAAGGCTCTAAGAACCTTTTGTGACTGCCAAGATGGCCAGGGACTTGGCTCTGACACCATCTATATGCACAGATACGTGTACCTGTCACCTCCATTTATTCCCATTTGGTCACGAGTCCTAATTTCACATCTGATGTCTTCTACAGCACAGGCTGTCAGCAGGCATTGCCTGTAAGCTCAGAAGTAATCTCAGAGACCCTCCTGCTGAGTCCATCAACTCGAATAAATGTTCTTCTAATCAGGAAAGTGGCACTCAGAACCTCTTTGCTGACAATTAGCCAGGCAGAAGTCAACAAACATTTGCGTAATAGTGACAAGATGGCTTGTACTTTAAATTGATAATCCTGTCACCAGTCAAATGTAAGTAACTACTTCCTATGTTATATAGCCTTTGTCTGAAAACATAACTCATTACCCATCGTTTGGCTGTGAGTGCTGATGAATTAACTGAACCACTTATTTAGACTGTGTTGCTGATTCAACATTCACCCTCCTCTGATGTCCTTGAGCCCTGGGAAAGGAGTTTTACTTCATTTGTAAAATAAGATGGGTGGATAATGTAGAATGACTCTCACCAGCTCTGTGATTCTAACCTAGTACAAAGAAAATTCACTTCTGTAGTGGGTTTCAACCTACGTTTTTGCCTGTAAGGGTGTGTATAAAACTTTTGCAGATGAATGGCCCAAGTGACTAATTTCTTGCAGGTGTTCTAGGAAGCATTAAACATGGCTAGATGGCACACCGCACAGGCAGATACCACTTGAAATGATAATTACGATGCTTAGGGGAGGATTTGAATCATGTGGTGAGGCCTGGAATTTTCTCTGGGAATCCATTTCTGAGTTCATAATAGCAGTCAATGGGATGATAATTTCTGTGCAAACCTCTGCCTTCCTAAGACCTTCTCAGGAGCATACTAATACCTGGGGTGCGGGTAGGGGCAGAATGCTCCCTGTCCTAGAGATTTTTATTATCATTCTCCTTATCCCTCCCCAGTCCCATCATGACTATCCTCAGTTCAGAATCCTTGGTCCAGACCCAGGAGAAAAATGACAGAAAGTTCCTAGGTCTTTACAGTACAAAACATCTACTTGGGGATTTTGTAGGAGCTGGAAGAATGGAGACATCCTTCAAAATGAGGGTAAGGGTACAATAGGACAACAGCACCTACATGCAAGACAATCTAGAGCCTATTTAATCCATTTGCAGAAGTTCTTGCTTGGTGACATCAATTCATGTCATTTTAACATTAAAAAAAACTTTAAGGAGGTTAAATTCCCTTGCCTAGTAAGAATAAAAGCAAAATCAAATTAACGTGCTCTTAAAGCAGAGGAAATGATTTGAATACTCAGCATGGCACTCCATCTATGCATTCTTTAAATATTTTTGGAGGTCTTTTAGTATCAGGCACTGTTCAAGGCACTGGAGACATAAAGATGAAATAGTCCAGTGGGGAAGCATCTGCTGCAATTTGACAAGTGCTGCACCAAAGTTATGCATAGGAAGCCAAAGAAGCTTTGAGCAAGGAGGTGACAAATGACTGAGTAATATTGAAAGATGAGTAGTGTTTGTCAAGTGAAAGGATAGGCAATGGCCTTGTAGATAGATGGAAATGCAGAAGTCAGGCATGGAGAACTCGGTGCATGTCAGGCACAGTATTTTAATATGTAGGAGTGAAAAAGGTATAAGGAGTGTAAGGAAAAATTATGCACTTTGGAATAAGCAAAAGAGACCTCTGGATATGTTTTCAGTGGTAATTATCTGTACCTATAGAGAAATACATCAGTCTTTGCTAGGCTATTTTACAACTCCATAGAGAGTAGAGTTAACAGGTAGTAAACTTACAGCAATGCAAATAATTATTATCTATAGGCGCCATTAACTTTAGCTTCATGAGTGTGAGTATAGCTCATAACCTTCTACTACAACCTGATGAGCATAAGTTAAGTTATACTCAAGTAACAGCAGTGGCTATGGAGGAGGGAGCTTGCATGGAGATCGATATAAAGGTAAAATTGACACTGGAGACATCAGATTCTTTAATAATAAATGTGGCTAATTAACTGAAAGAAAAGTGCAGTTCTTAAGTATTAGAGATTTACCTGCTGTAGATCTGCTAGTAGTTTTCTCAAAACCCTTCGAGTCATGCGTGTCCCAGAATCATAACCTCCCCTGCTATTTTCTGCATAGAGCTGAAAAAGAGCTAGACATGTAGAAGGAAAAATCTTTAAATTGAATACTTGGAATGCATCTTTGAAGAGTACTTGCTATGAAGTAACAGTCTCTTTGTGGTTACGAAGGGAAAGAGAAGGGAAAGTTACGCTCTTGATTATTGGCTCGCTATTTTGAAGGCCTTCCAAACTATGTTTTTTATAATAACCATAATTTGATAACTAATGAAAATCCATTCACATTTCAACACCTTGATCATTTAGTGCATCTATGATGAAGATCATGAGGTTAGTAAAAGGAAATGTGAGGATCCTCCCAGTCTTCAAACCCATAATAATTACGGGTGTCTGGATAATCCCTAAACAAATAAATATCAAGAACAACCAAGAAACAATTAGGAAGTGTAAATTTTTAAAAAATTCCAGGGCCGGGCGTGGTGGCTCAAGCCTGTAATCCCAGCACTTTGGGAGGCCAAGGCGGGTGGATCACGAGGTCAAGAGATCGAGACCATCCTGGTCAACATGGTGAAACCCCATCTCTACTAAAAATACAAAAAATGAGCTGGGCATGGTGGTGCATGCCTGTAATCCCAGCTACTCAGGAGGCTGAGGCAGGAGAATTGCCTGAACCCAGGAGGCGGAGGTTGCGGTGAGACGAGATCGCGCCATTGCACTCCAGCCTGGGTAACATGAGTGAAACTCCGTCTCAAAAAAAAAAAAAAAAAAAAAAATTCCAAATTCTTCAAATCTTAAATATTTTTCTTCAATAAACACACGAGTCATGCTGAGTACATGCTGAAGAAGAAGGTCTTGTGACAGGGATATAGGATAACAGGTTGGGGATTTGGGGCTCACTGCACTTTAGGACATGCATAGTCCTCTGTGTGTTACCTCGGTATTTTGTAAGAGGGCTGTCTCCTGAGAGGGTTATCAGGGCAGCGGCCGCAGGCATAAGCTGGAGAAAACCTGTTTCTGTGCTGCACAGTGACAAAATACAGAGACAAGAATGAAAAGGTCAGCGTTACCTTTGGTGTCATGGATTATCTAAACCATAACTATTAATGGGCATTGCTGATATGGTGTTATAAGTTGTAGCTTTTCATGGCCTCTTATCCTACACCTAGAATTTAGCAGAACAGAGCACTGAATTAACTTATTTCACCAGTCATTTATTTGTTCATGCAGTCCTTCCAAAATTTCTATTTGATGCCTCCTCTGTGCTAAGCCCTGTACTAGGCACCAGGGATGTAGGGGTATACCCTGTCTTCGTGGAGCAGGTAGCATCACTTCCTCAGGCCTCAGTTGCCTAGAAACCAAGCAACAGAGACAAGGGAGGACCAAAAGGCAGCAAAGGAGCAAATATTTATGCAAAAGAAAAATCTAGTTCACAGGATCTCAGAGCCTAATCATCCTTGCCCACTTGCTGTCCAGTTTACAAACCTACTAAACAATTTATTGAAGGCAGGAAGATTGTTGGAGACAGGCACAGATAATAGAAATGACAATCAGGTTGGACGTGGTAGCTCATGCCTGAAATCTCAGCACTTTGGGAAGCTGAGGAGGGCAGATCACTTGAGGTCAAGAGATCGAGACCATCCTGGCCAACATAGTAAAACCCCTGTCTCTAATAAAAACACAAAAATTCACGGGTCTGGTTGCATGCATGTGCCTATAATCCCAGCTACTCGGGGGGCTGAGGCAGGAGAATTGCTTGAACCCAGGAGGCGGAGGTTGCAGTGAGTCGAAATCACAGCCACTGCACTCCAGCCTGGCAGCAGAGCAAGATAACGTCTCAAAAAACAAAAAACAAAAAACAAAAAAAAAAAAGAAAAGAAAGAAAAAGAAAAGAAATGACAGTCAAAAGCTTAATGTTTAAGGAAGCTGAAATGAAAAAATAACTTGAGAATGGGTTTAAATATTGTTTGGGCAGTTAAAAAAAATTAAAAAGAAAACTGGAAAAGAAAATAACCACAAGGAATTTGCCCAGTGGTTAAAATGGTGCTTGCCTCTGGGAGGCAGGCTGATGGGTAATAATGTATTTCTTTTTCTTTACTTTTTTCCTCTACTTTTCCAAATGTTTGAGTTCACTATGATTTTTGAAAAGTTTATTCTAAAGGAAGAAGTCTACTGAGTCGAGGATAGGTAAGGTCAACCAAACTGAGGAGGGGGCAGAGGAATTGAAACCTTACAGTTTAAAAAACACACCCACCCCTACCACATACCAGCAGAACTATTGGCTTGAGAGCATATGTAATTGGTCCTTTGACATAGTCTAAACTGGTTTATAGGTTACCCATCCATGCACAGAATTTTCAACCTTATTCTAGCTAAAAAAAAAGAAAAAGAAAGAAAGAAGAAATTGATAGTCATTTACAAAGAAATGAGCAAAGAAGCTAGCATTAACAAGAGTGTCATTTTTCACATATATATATAGAATTATAAACACCCTAGCAAGAGGTTCGTATGTTTCTCTAGAGTAGGAATGAATTTGTATAAAGGAAAGAATGATGTGGCATTTCCCCCCTCTTTTTGCTATCCGTGGGTCATTTATATTCATAAAACTGAATAGGCATTTACTCCTGTGTTCCACTCCTGAGGAATAAATTTGTGAAAAATGAACAAAGGCTTCTTATATACCAAACCTCAAGCAAATGTTAGACAGCACCAAATGGTAAATGACCACTGGCCACTAACATTGCCTTTGAGGTCACATCGTGACGTCCACACACTCACCTGTTGTACATTGTCGTGAGAAGGCTCAGAGTGAGTTCCGAAGCTCTGGGATGTACCTGTCCGGGATTTTCCTCCCTGGCTTTCTGAAACAGCTCTTGGAGTGCCTGTGAAAGCTGCTGCACAGAGAGGGAACACTTGCGAGCTTCCCAGAAACTTGGACGCAGTAGGACCTGCTGAATCAGGGAGCTGTCAATCAAGTCCACTGTAGGAAGCAAATGAAGAATTGAGCCTTATTTTCTGATGGGAACAAAAGGCTTCAAATGAAGCAAATGTCATTTAGTGTTTTATAATTAAGACTGCCTTTTTATAGTAGTTATTTTCTTTTACAGGGAATGAAATATGACCATTATTTGGACATGTATCCCTTGTGTATAATTCAGGCGTTGCTATTCTAGCGATTCATTTGATTTTGGAAAAGTGCATCTGTTAGTAAAGCATAGTTATAACATTATTACCAGTACAGTTTCTAGGGTGTTGTTTTATAGAAAGAAGTTAAAAAAGGAAGTGAGAAACGAAAAATAAGATTTCCAAGAAAGTTATGACACTGTGGTGAAAAGTTGGGGGAAACATTTTTATACTCTTCATTAAGTGGATTGAATAAATTTACCTTTCATGTTCAAATATAGTTTTTCTTGTCTGCAGCCCAGCTTCAGAAGCAATATGGTGTGTTAAAAAGCAATTGCCATAGTTAAATAAAAAACAGTGATCTTTGTAAAAGAGCAGTTACTCTTCCATAAAGATCTTTAGGCTAAAGAGATTGAGAATTCAGCAACTCAGTAATATCAATTTTTAAAAGCTTGGTCCCATCAGTATTACTATCTAGAGAGGACACTTAATAAAACTAGAGCTGCTTACAAAAAATAATGCTTTATTTCTTATACTGAATATTTTTTAACCACCTTCTCCTAAAATTTTTACAAGGCAATGAATAGAAACAAGAATGTAATAGAGCTAACCCCATAGCTTCTTGCAGAGAGAGGATGACAGACAAAATTAATAAACAGCCACTTGCACCATCTGAAAGGTGAGGATGTCAAGAGCGCCAAGAGCTCCTGGCATTTAAAACTCTTCAGTCTGTGAAACCATAAAACCCTGGGTTTCTCTCTACTTCATAAATCAACCTCAGATAAGAAATCTAGCAAGTATAATAAAAATTTTTATTTGTTCTCTGATATTGCTTTTAAGGGGAGAGTCTAAGGAACAGAGGAGCAAGTTTCAGGGATGTGACTTAAATAAGAACCTGGCTGCAGGTGGTGAAGGTTGTAAACTCTTTTATCATTAAAACCTGTCACCTCGGCCACGCATTCTGAACACAGGCCGATTTCATCTCCTGCTGAGAGTCTATATTACACCAAACCAGATAATAGTGGTGTCCATTAATCTCACTGCAAGATTTGTACAGCGATGTGTTCCAGATCTTGCTATTTGGAGCTTGTTATACTTTATCTTGGTGTTTGGGACTTTTCTGTTTTAAATTTTTGTTTGGTTATCTTTTCTCGGCAACATTTTTCAACCACGGATTTTGTGTATTGTTAATGTTTCCCAGGAGTATTATTTATATTCACTGTTCCTGATGCCAGAGATAACAAAAAGTTCAAAAATGTGCATCCTTAAATTACACTCTGGTACATACTTGGGCATTCATGATGGGGACATGTGAAAAATTGCTGTTAACTTTCTTTAATGGGAGAAATTCTCCAGGAAAATAGCGTCATTGGTAGTAAATTTTTAGCCTTTCATTTGTTTCTGGAATAATAAATAATACAATACTTATACATGAGTTTATCTAGAGAAGTAAGCTACATAAAATTGTTTTTAAAACCAAAAATTTATTTTTCAAAGCAACCTGATACAGAAACATGGTATGAGGCTGGGTGTGGTGGCTGACACCTGTAATCCTGTCACTTTGGGAGGCCAAAGTGGGGGGATCAGTTGAGCTCAGGAGTTCAAGACCAGCCTCTGCAATGTGGCAAAACCCTGTGTCTACTAAAAATACAAAAATTGGCAAGGTGTGGTGGCTTGTACCTGTGGTCCTAGCTACTAGGACGGTTGAGGTGGCAGGATGGTTTCAGCCTGGGAGGCAGATGCTGTAGTGAGCTGAGATCCCACCACTGCACTCCAGCCTGGGTGACAAAGTGAGACCCTAACTCACACACACACACACACGCACACACACACGGAAACACAGTATGGGAAATAGAGAAGGATGGAGTTGTTCTTATTGAGGATATGGTCTTTGAATCTTCCTGCCTTGCCTGAACCTCCTCTTCCGACCTGGCTAATTCCTTTGTGCTCTACCCTACATCCACATATATTTTGTGAAACCGAATTTGAAAAGCACTGCCCTGTATAACTTTTTAGGCAGAGGGAAAAATATTTAAAATGTCAGCCTTCAGTAGAAATGTCATATATATAACATAACTTCTTTTAGATCTGATATGATAAATTCCAGAAATCATTTTACATGAAGTGATTTTTCTTTAGTGCAATGAGAAATCAATAACTTTAGATATGCTGAATGCCTGGTGTTTTTCATAGCTTGGACCCAGTTTATTTCACCTTGGAAATTTTTCACAGAATAAATGTTTTTACCATATTATGCCTAGATAACAGTATGAGAAAAGAAAAGAAAACCATACATTCAATCAGACATAAATTTAATGCAAAAGGAACAGTTCTCAGGGAATTCTTGAGATTGTTTTAAAATTCATGATCCATGGGTTGTTTATTCATTTGCACCTACTTTTGCATGTTCGTATATAGATTACAGGTACAACTTGAAAACACAAATCTTAGGTGGTAGATGAAATTTTATATTTTTAACTTAAATCTATGGGTACAGATTTGAAACTACTTTTTTTTGTAATTTTATTTTGTATCCATATCGGTATCCTGAAAAGAAAACCAAAAACATTTTCTAGAAGAAACCAAGTAGAAAAAATATTTAAAAAATTAAAAAAACACAATTATTTTCTATCGCTCATCAGAAAACTACACATGGTTTGAATGCACATGATGTCTTTCCATCCCTCCATCTTCTCTGTCACGAATGAGCTAAATGCACAAGTCCAGACTTCCGGAATCCAGCAGTCAGCTGCATGGAGGAGTGTTTGTTTTCTCTATGAATTTTACATCACACATCAAGCTCAGATTATTTCAAATATTTCAGGAGAGCCTATACTTACACTGGCACAGAGTTTGCACTGATCGTAATTTGAAGGCTGTTCTATAAATGGAATTCTCAATACTACTAAGAGCATCTGTAAAGAAAACATAAAATATTATGAATAAATTACTCTCTCATTATATAAATCCCACATCCTGGAAGGAAATCCTAGGGATCATGTAACCTTACTTTATTTTGCAGGTGAGAAATTAAGGTTTAGAGTTCCTTTTTTCTTTCTGTAAATAAATAATAATAGGCTTAGATTATTCTAGGGCTACAGGTGAACCAAGTTCACCTTCTCAGTCCACCAAAAAGTGGGGAATACTCCATCTGTCAACTTTTTACATAAAATGTCAATGGCCTTTGAAATAAACAGGATTTTTTAAAAACTATGTAGAATATAAATTCAAGTTTGCAAATACATTCTAGTTAGATGTGGACACATTTATTTATGCATAAATGAAAAAGACCCCAAAGCTATCCATCTACTCTTACATTTAGCCAATATTTTTTGAGTCCTTACTGTATGGCCCTGGCATGATTCTAGGCCCCTTGAAATATAGCAATCAACTAAACAGATGAAGATGGCCACTCTCGTGAAGATTAACTTCTAGTACCATCTACCAAATTGTTAACAGAGAATATCTTTGGGTGCTTTAATTGTTAGTGTTCATGGTTATTTTCTCTCTACTCAATATTATCTAAGTTTTCTATAAAAAGTATATGTTATTTTTATAATCAGAAAAATAATTATTAATATACCTTCTTTTGAGAATACCACCACCAATAGCATTACAACAATAGTGGGCATTCCTGAGCCCTTCTAGGCACTGAGTGTGTGTTTGCCCATTTCACGGTGCGGAGGAGAGGAGCGCACTCTGGAGCCAGCCATACTTCGTTCTATTCCTTTTTCCTTAAAATTAGTTACTTTTGATCTTCAGCTTCTTCATCAAGATAAATGGGAATTATAATACATTCCTCAAGGAGTATTTGCACATTTTAAATAAGAAAATGTAGGCAATATATTTCCTAAATTATCTTACTTCCCTTAAGGACCCATGATTTTAAATTTTTTCCATTGATCCTCCAAATTTGATTTTTTTTTAATTTAAGAGACTGTAACAACATTACAACAGAGCTTTTCATTGCTTAAGACTGAAATGATCAATCTTCATATCTAGAAAAAACAAAAACTACAGAGTAGATCTCCCCATTTAGTCATATTACCTTTAATACTATTCAATAAAGCTATATAAGATCATACACATTAATAGCTTAGTTTGTTTTAGACAGTTAAAATGACCTGTTCTAACCTATTATTATTGGTATAAACCAGCGGACCTGAAAGTATGGCTCCTGGACCAGCAGTAGCAGCAACATCGTCTGGGAACTTGGGAGAAAAACCATTTCTAACAAAACTCTAAGAAGTCTTCGATGTTAGGATCTAGGGGTGAGAATCTAGGGGGCAACCTAAGTCTTAGCAGGCCCAGGGGTAAATCTGATGCAAAGGAAAGTTTGAAAACTATGGATATAAAGGGAATTTATTGCTTCTGCTTTTTATGACTAGTTTGATTATTGGAGGTCTTTGTGACAGCAGTTTCAGGGGGTCATGGGGGTCAAAATCAAATTGCAGAGGAGTGAGCACTGAGTATAAGGTAAGGAGAAACATAAAACCAGGCAACTTTTTCAAGATCTTTAATGTGAAGGGAAGACAAGAGAGCCACAGCTAGAACAACACATAAAATCAAAGTTGGTTTTCAAAGGCAGGAGAGATTCCAGAGTCCACCCAGCAACCATTTTTCTTTCTTCAGGTGAACCACCTCCCCTAATCTGAGTACATGAAATTCCAGTAGTGTCAACTGCAACTCTCTCACTTCCATGTAGGCAAGTGGTCCAGGCCCAGCCCATCAGTGAGAGCGCCATCACACTCACCAGAGGTGGGCACATACCAAAGTCAGGCAAGTAATGGGCCAATGAAACTGGATTCAAGGACTCTTGGTTCAAGTTATCAGGGAAGCAGACTTTTTTTTTTCTGGACTTGAATTTGGAATTGTAGATTGGAGCAGCAATCACTCTCTTGTCAAGTTGTGTAGCTTGAGAATGAAATCAGCTCACAAGGGTGAGCAGAGATAAACTTGGAGATGGAGAGAAATCACTTCCTGGTGACAATGTCCCAGCCCAGGAAAGCTAGTCCTGCCTAGGGCTATTTGATTTATTTTCATTTGTTTTAATTGACAAATATTGCATATATTTATTGTGTACAACATGCTTTAAAATATATATAACACTTTGGGAGGCCGAGGCAGGGGGATCACGAGGTCAAGAGATCGAGACCATCCTGGTCAACATGGTGAAACCCCGTCTCCACTAAAAATACAAAAATTAGCTGGGCATGGTGGCGTGTGCCTGTAATCCCAGCTACTCAGGAGGCTGAGGCAGGAGAATTGCCTGAACCCAGGAGGCGGAGGTTGCGGTGAGCCGAGACCGTGCCAGTCTGGGTAACAAGAGCAAAACTCCGTCTCAAAAAAAAAAAAAAATATATATATATATATATATATATATGACTTATGGAATGGCTACATTGAACTAATTAACATATACATTATCTCACATATTGATTTTTGGTGGTAAGAATACTTAAAATCTATTCTCTTAGCAATTTTCAAAATATACTACATTGTTATTAACCATAGTCACCATGCTGTACAGTAGATCTCTTGATTGGGTTATTAATTTTATAAGGTAACACAGCCTTTTTGAGCTAAGTTTTCTGCCACAATCACTGAAATATGGCCAACTGCTCCCATCGCTGCGGTAGAGAGAGGGAGGAAAATGTACGGGTGAAGGAATTAGCTTTGTTAAGAAGCCATCTCTTATTCCCTGAGAGGAAGCATAAAAGGAGATGATGATAGGGCTGGGGAAATGGGCTGAGAGCTTCTGTTTTCTTTGTAAAGTTGAGGGCATGTTCAGGCACTTAGAGTTAGGAGGAGGTGGTGGAGTAGAAAACTTGAGGAATGGTGAAGATTTGGACTGGTTACAGTGAAGAGTGAAAGAGGAAACCAGTCACAAACTTTGGAAAAGAACTTTCAAGCCATAGTGCATCTCCAGTATTTCCCGTGACAAAAAATTCCAATTAAATAGAGTTTACACCCAGAACCGCTCATTCTGAGGCAAGGATTTCACACACAAGCAAGCTCTGAGGACAAGACTTACTTGTGTTTATGAGGCCCAGAGGAAGAAGCCTTGAGGAAAATGAAGCAACGTTCAAATGTAATGTCAGCTGATCCACAAAAAACTCAGGCAATGAGGAGTTAGGCTGTGCTGGGGAGTTTTGCGACTAGAAACACAGCCAGGTCTCCAGCCTTGAAACAGGCCCTGGGCAAAAATGAAACCAGGAACTGCTTGGTGTATTTCTTTGATTCAAATGTATGTGGCAAGACAATTTGCTGGTGACATTCAGTTTTGTCTTGTTCTTGCAGCAAGGGGAGAATTTAAAGAATGGAAAGGCGATGTGCCTGTGTCCATCCTGTAAGTCTAAGCTGTTCTAACTCCTTTGGGAGATCTCACAGTGTCTTTGTGTTTAAGGGCCACTGTTGAAATCAACTCAACTCAGGCCTTTTTATGAAAGTATGGACAGGCCCATGAAAGAATTAATCTGGAATTTTCCTGGAGGTGGGAAGAGGCAGATGCCTGGATGGGAAGTTGGGAGATGTCTTACTGGGAGGTGTTTCCAGGGCTGCCCTTCCTAGCAGACCCCTGAGTGGAGGAATGGCTGCATGGTATAGCCAGGGAGATCAGCCACATGTGTGACAAGGACTTCGGTGTCCAGTCTTGACATGGAGTCCCATGTCTTCAAGTGGAACCCAAAGCCAGAAGCAGAGAGCATCACAAGTGGTGGTCACAGTGGACTTCAGTCTGGGGCTTGACCAGAGGTTCAAGGTAGCAGCCTTAGGGCTTTCTGTTTGTCTCCCAGGGATGGTTCCCTCCCAAACTTAACTCAGCCTAAATTTCGTATCAAGGTACGGTGACTTGATTTTGATATGCGAAATGATGTTTCTTGCCCTTGAGTGTTGTGGGGTAAAGTCCTAGCTGTTACACATAAGATACTGAGTACTAAGCACTGTGTGGAGGCACAGAGGGGGTTACGGTGCTGAACCAGGACAGAGCCTTCCTGAAGGAGCATGGGCATGCTACAGGCCTCTCTCTGAATGTATACTGATCAACAATCAGCATATGATCATGATTTGATTTAAAAATGTTCAGTTTTCAGACAAGACGCCAATGTTAGAGAATGGGAGATGTCAGAAACACCTCTGTCCTATGTCTGGAGAAAGGAAACAAATTGAGAGAAGGTATAGTAGGGTGGAAATAATTTGCAACAGTGTAATGCCCAACATTTCTTTCCTCTGGAAATTGGCCAGTGTTTGTGCCCTGGTTCCTCTCAGATTCACCAAGCAGATACAGAGAATCAGCAAACAAGGGGCCTCTGCAAGTTCCCAGATGCTGCTGTTGGTGGAGGAGTGACTCTGTAGCTGCTCTACCATCTGGCCATCACTCTCCTGTCAAGTTCTGCTTTGCAGCGTCATCTGATGAAGCTATACAGCATAACATGGCAAGCTGTGATACAGTGCAATGTGGAAAATGAATGAGCAGCCCAGGTGATCCAACACCAGACCCATTTCCTCAAGGCTAACTTTTACACTTTTTTTCTGATGACGGAAAAAAAAAAAAAAATCAAGAGAAGAAGAAATTACCAAATGTATCATGCCCAAGGCTACGAACAATGTAGTTTCAGAAGCTTAAAGAAATAGTAACAGAAGCTACATGTGTTCTTGTTCATGGAAGCAATATGATTGAGAAATATCTTTTGATCAGGATTCTTGGTTTTGCTTAGCTACAGCAATATATTTATTTTCCACTGATACTAAGGTGGATGTAATACAATTCTTTCAAATGTCCATCATCTAGTTTGATGATCCAAAATTGATGCTTTAGGCCAGTGGTCCTCAGAGTGTGGTCCGAGGGAGCAGCATCAGATCACCTGGGAACCTGTTAGAAACGCACATTCTGGACTCTCCTCCAGACCCACTGAATCACAAACTTAGCAGCATATTAACAAACTTGGGCGATTCTGATGCATGCTAATTTTGAGACACACTGCTTCAGAAAAAGAAAATTGTGAGCTGAATGGACTCTCTACTGTTTTGTGTAACGTGTTAATATGAGAGTCCATATTTGGAAAACCCAAAGGTATTGGAATCATTTATAATGTTGTTTTAGATAAATAACTAGGGATCATACACAATTTCGTATCAAACAAGTAAGATAACAATGTAGATTCTGGTTAGCGGAATAAAGCTGCAAATAGATCCAGCAATAGAAATGCCACAGATCTGTTTTCAGTCTAACTTGGCATTCAGTGATGTTAGAAGAAAAGGGAACTAGTTTCTTCATATCCATTTATCAAATTTTCATATGGTAACAGCTGTGAGACCTTTCTCCCAACTTTGGAACCACACGGTACTGTTAAATTACCCATGACATTAAAATATATATAATCATGTCATTTTAATAGTAAACTATGAGTATAAATAAAACTAAAATAATAGTTTTTGTATTTTTGAATAGCAATTAAAATGCAATTATGTTGACATCAAGATTTTCATTCGATTATTTTTGGTGCTTTCGAGACAATAGACCAAATGCTCTTCAGTACAGGGTGGCTTTCTGTTTAGAAAAGAGAGAAAGCCACTTTAATCAAATAACAGTTTCTTTTTCAGCCAGTAAATTGCCAAATGTTTACTCTTTTTCAAATCAGAGGTCTGAAAATATAACATCTGTGTCTAATTTTTCTGTTTGCAAACTATACTCAGAAACTTGACAATAATGCTCACCTTGTTTATCTGGATCCATTTCACAAATTTCCTGGAATGACAGATGGCAAGTCGATCCCTGTAAGTAGAAATGAACCAGTATTTTAAGCAGAAGGTTTTGCAGCAGAGTAATGAGGCCAGGGGAACAAAAAGGCAACCAAACAAATCATTGCAGTCACCTGTGGAAAGTGACTGCAAGGCGTTCGGGAAGACTGAAATAGCTTGGAAGGAAAAAAACAAAACAAAACAGAGAAATGTAGACGTAGAGGCTCCCGATACTGGCCACGCTTCTCAGAAAACTGAGAACAGCTCCTGAAACTAATACTGTGATGACTTAGAGCCTTTGAGGCATTATAATTTTAAGAGTGGACTGTATTCTTACTTTAAGACGATATCAATTTACTTGAATTTTAAGAACAAACTTTGAAGCTCCCAATACTTAAATTTTTAATGACACTATGCTAAATAATTCTACATATTAAATTTCTGATGAAAGCTATCAATTCGTCACATATGTGTATATGTATACATAGGATTCTGTTAATAGTTTATTTTTAAAAGAGTAGTCAATTAGCTACCTTTGTTAATTGTTTCATGTTGCAACTATTGTTCAAACAACACACAAACACACATACACGAGGGGCTTGTGGAAAATGTATGTTATGAAGAAACTAGGCAAGGATTTCAAAAATTTTTTTGTACCGAAATAAACTCACACTAACATGTTGAAGCATGTCTGAACAGGATTTAGTTTGAAGCAGTAAGAAGGGTATCAGTTTGAAAATAGCCATTAGAGCAACATTAATTCTACTAAAATCGAAGCAAGAGCAAATATCAAATGTATGGTGACGCGTGGGTAGAAGAATAGTGAAATCATTGATGCTTTTCAAAAAGTTTATGGGGACAATGCCCCAAATAAATCAGTAGTTTACACCAATGAATACTATGCAGCTGTATAAAGAACAAGATCATGTTCTTTGCAGGGACATGGGTGGAGCTGGAAGCCCTTATCCTCAGCAAACTAATGCAGGAACATAAAACAAAGACTGTATGTTTTCACTTATAAGTGGGAGCTGAATAATGCGAACACATGGACACAGGGAGGGGAACAACACACAATGGGGCCTGTTGGGGGTGCAGGAAGAGGGAGAGCATCAGGATAAATAGCTAATGCATGCAGGGCTTAACACCCAGGTGATGGGCTGATATGTGCAGCAAACCACCATGGCACATGTTTACCTGTATAACAAACCTGCACATGCTACACATGTATCCCAGTATTAAAGTAAAATTAAATAAAAGAAAAAAGCAATCAGTAGTTTACAGAGGTATAACTCATTTTGAGAAGGGATGAGGTAATGTAGAAGATGAAGCCCATAGCAACAGATTATCCACATTAATTTCCAAGGAAAAAAATGAACTTTTTTCTTTTAAAAAAGTAAATGCTGTAATTGAAGAGGAAAAACAATTAATGGAAGAAACAATAGCCAACTCCATAGATAGCTCAACTGATTAACCTTACACAATTCTAACTGAAAAATTAAAGTTATGCTAGCTTTACACTGGAAGCCTGCCAAAACCATTGCACGTAGATTAGCTACAGACAAGAGCAGAGTCAATGGAAATTTTAAACACGTGGGACCAAGATTCTGAAGACTTTCTTTGAAGAACTGTATCAATAGATGAAACATGGCTAAGCCCAGGTAGGCTTAGAAGGGTCCAGCCTCCCGAACAGTCAACAGGACAGCTGAAGATATCATCTATCTGCCTCCATGCCAGGTCCTTACCTTTCTTAGTTTCTCTGGAGAAGCATTCTAGTCGAACCTCCATATAAATGACTCAGCAGTAGTGGAAGACAGAAGCTGAGTAAAATCAGGTTTCCAGATGTAGCATTCCTATGCAGAGTTGATTTCTTGTTCTGGCTGCCCAGCAATTGCATGCAAAACAGTAATATTTGCGAATGCAGTGTTTTCAGGGCTTACAGAAGTGCATTCATTAATAATAAAGATCCTGAATATTTAAGGCTACCCCCACATCTCTTATTTCCAAGGGCCATTTTCATATCAGTTTCATGTGTGAAGAGGCAGGTAAAATTTCTGGGTGCTACTGAAAGCAGGGCATTCCACAGAGAGCAGCGAGCAGTCAGAAGGGCTCCATGTCCCACATAACCGCCACCTTCCAAACTAACTCAGTTAGGAGTTACCTAAGAGTGGAACTGAAATCATTTTATTAATTCTTTTATAAACACAGAGATGTGGTTACACATTTTTTAAAAGTGTTAAATATGATGCAGGTCTTAGAAAGGATAATAATAATTTGTTACGAATGTACATTTCCTCTTACAGTTTAAGTATACAGTAATCTGAAAATGTCTTATTTCTATAGTTAAGACTAAAAATGAACTTATTCTAATCCAAATAGGATTTTTAAAAGATGATGTCCCATGAACCAAATGTATTACAACTTTACCATTAATAACTTCAAGCTGTTGACAAGGTAGGGAGTTGATATAGTTTGGCTGTGTTCCCACCCAAATCTCACCTTGAATTGTAATAATCCCCACATGTCAAGGGCGGGCCAGGTGGAGATAATTGAATCATGGGAGCTGTTTTCCCCATACTGTTCTCATAATAGTGAATAAGTCTCACAATATCTGATAGGTTTATAAATGGGAGTTTCCCTGCAGAAGCTCTTTTGCCTGTCATGCTGTAAGACATGCATTTCTTCTTTCTTTGCCTTCCACCATGATTGTGAGGCCTCTCCGGCCATGTGGAACTGTGAGTTCATTAAACTTCTTTCCTTTATAAATTACCCAGTCTGGGGTCTGAGAACAAACTAATATAGGAGTCAATGTTAACATATCTTTCAAAAACGTTTGAACTGCAAGCATAGGTGTGTTACTTTGTGAGCAGCACCTGGAGAGCTGAAATATCTGAGTGTTCAGGTCCCAAAAGTTACAATTAAAACAACTCTGATAAGTGATCACAGATTCACTCTAGAATGTCCCATAATAAAATCAGCTTTGAAAAGTGAGTATGATATCCAATAATCACTAATTTATTCTTTCCTTTTTGAAACATATTAGTATCACATTATTGGTTTCCTAAAAATGGAAACTTGAGACATTTAAAAAAATAAAAATTGATAAGTAATGGGGCAAGAATGGAATCAAGTGAAGGAGAAAATAATCTATCATGTGTCTTTGTCTAGACAAATGACTGATTTTCTGTGAACAGATAAGACAAAAATCTAGGAAGAAAGTAAGTCTATCTCACACGAAATCTGTATCTGTTTGAGTGCTGCAGACGCAAAGCTGAAATTGTATTTAGAAGTTTTATATTACATTATATCTGCATCATGACACATCATAGTGTCTGAGGTATCAGCAATAGAAGGAGGTTTGAACATTTTTCTGAGTGCTGACATTTTTAGATTTCAGTAGACATCTCTGGCATTGACTAATTCTGTGGAACAAGGATCGTGGTGCCAAAAAAAAAAAAATTGCCTGAAGTTTCAGTCAAAGTAACATAATTAAATAGACAAATAGTTAAGTACCTAAGAATGAACCAGGGTATGTTGGAAAGTAATCTAAGCAAATGGGCAATTGATAGTCCTGAGCTCTTAGCATGGCTGGATTTCAGACATGCTTAGAGAAAAGGTCTGAGAACTGTTTTGGTTTCACTTACTTCTGTCAGCTGGAACTTTGTAGTTACCATTGCAGTCCCCTGGCTCAAGTTCACGTAGACCTGGTCATATTAAGACTTTTCCTTTTCTTCCCGTAAAATGTTTTGGGTTATAAATCAAAACCAGTTTTTTTCTTCCTATAAATGTTTTAGGTTCTAAATCAAATTTATGATCTTACAAGATCATAAATAACTGATGAGGTGGCATTCTTTGCTAGCAAGGCAGTAGTTTCTGTATATCATAATTGGTAATTGACTCTGTCTTTATCTTGAGCAAGCAGTAGGAAGAGGGTACAATCTTTCCGCACAATCACAATTTGCCCTGGTTGGGACATAAATGTTTCACACCAGCCAGAAGCTGGGCGTCCACTCCTTCTTGTGTATAGGCACTGTTTCTGTTCACTCTCTCTCTCTCTCTGATGACTCCTTACACATACATTTGGAGACTATAACTCCCAAGAAAGAAAGAGGATTTACATGTATTTACATATATGATGAATAATCTCAGAGAAAAAATTAAGTTACTAAAGCTGACTCAAGAAAAAAATAGAAAACCTATATCAAGGAAGATAGAACAAATGAACTTAAAATATTACATTCTGAGCTCAGATCATGTTATGGGTCAAGGCTTTGAGGCTTTAAAAACACAGAAGATTTTTATACTTTGAAAATGGTTAGAAGACCTAGAAGGTTACCAAATTTATTTTATGAAGACAGCAAAACACTGAATGCCAAAAATGACAAAGCAATAATAATATCTTTCTCTGTATCACACACATACTCTCACATAAAAATATATGAGCTGGTATAATTTATAAATATCATGAGAAAATCCTAAAGAAAGAACCTAGAAACCACATATTAAAAGAATAATTTACCGTAATTGAGTAGGTTTTATTCTAGAGCTACAAAGATGCTTGATATTTGGAATTGATAATATAACTATTAATAGATCCAATAAGTGAAATCAATTTCAGTAGATGTTACAAAGACATTTAATATTATTAACTAACAAAAATGGTATATGCTTATTGTGTGTGTGATGTTTTATTTATTTATTTATTTAGAGACAGGCTCTCGTTCTCTCACCCAGACTGGAGTATAGTGGCATGATTATAGCTCATTGCAGCCTCAAACTCTTGGGCTTAAGGGGTCCTCTTGCCTCAGCCTCCCAAGTAGGTAGGACTACAGGTGCCTACCACGTGTCTGGCTATTTTTTTATTTTTTATTTTTGTGGAGGCAGGGTCTTCTTATCTTGTCCAGGCTGGTCTTGAGCTCCTGGCCTCAAGCAATCCTCAGTCCTTGTCCTCCCAAGTTGCTGGGATTACAAATGTAAACCACTGTGCCCAATGGGATA